CTGCTGCTCGCAGGACTTTTATATTCCAATATTGAAGTCACTTTGGCGTGGACCAGCGGCTCATGTGAGTGTGTGTGTGTGTGCGCATTTGTTTTGAGTGTGGGCTGGCTGTGGTAGATTTAGCTGGAAACCAAAAAACCGGTCCGACACATGTCCATGTAACTGTGCAATCCATAGTTCAAAGCATGAGAGCAACCCTCCCACTACTCATGGGGGACCAGAGGGTCTCTTTTCGAGGGACATGGAGCTTCAGCAGCCCAGGGAGTAGTTGGCAAACCCCTGCGCAGAAGGCGCTCCAAGCGATCATGCTGATTGTTTACTGGGTGATACATTGATATAAATTGTCCATCAGTGACTCGCCTTTCACAGCATGTGCAGCCCGTACTTTTGAATTTCCCTGCAAGCCAAAAGGGATGAGGGGAGAGGTGTTTCTTCCCAACCCACCCAGCCATGAAGCTGATGGAGTCCAAGGGCTGCGGCGAGTTTGTGGCAAACCGCAGCAGGGGCAAGCCGCAAGCAACTGCGTGTTGTGAATTTGGGCGTTGGCACTGGGTGGAAATCATCACCGGGTTGTTGTTCCGAATTTTGCTGCGTTAGCAGAGGTAAGGCAACACAAGCTGACGGCTGGCGAAACCGTACTTCTAAACTTGTCCCAAAAGCAAGCTGCATGCTTCGAGGGGGAGACACCTTGAACACTGGATTTTGTGGTTGCTGCTTGCCCAGGGAAGACAGGTCGCTATTTTTGGCATCGTAGCCATGCTTGTTTCCTTACGCACGTGGCCGTGGACAGGCGATCAAGTTTCAAGGGTGCCTCAAGGTCTCAAGCTGTCTCTGGGTTTCCCTTGCTGGATGTGGCTGTTGCTCAAATTGCAGACTGAAAATTGGCCGGCCTTCCTTTCGGATTGCCGGATTGCCTTGGCACCAGCCAATGGGTCCCCTACTTTTGAGAATCCCCCCGTCCCCCTCAGACTTGTGGAGCAACCAGGCCTCCGGGCAGAAGCTCTGTGGCCAAGGTGTAGGCCCCTGGCCACAAGAATGTTCCCAGAACCCCTAAGAACCTATCCCAGCCAAGGCCGTTCGGCTTTCCCCGGTTAGCAAAATGGATAAATCTGGGCCACATTCAGAGCAAATCCCCCTATATCCTCCTGAAATGAATGAAATGGCACTAAAAGGGGCTTGTTACCCCTAGTTAATACGCTTCTCCTTTTGACTACTCCGAAGTTGACGTTATTAGCTCATTTGATACGAAACGGGCACAACTCTCTTTGGTCAAGCTCCTTCTGGTTCATCCGAATTTGACTTTACTCGGCCCACACCTTGCGTACTTCTAAGACACTACCCTCTAACTGTGGTTCTTTGGGGTCTACCTCAACTTTGGTGTCTGCAGATGGTTGCCGGGTTTCGAGGGTGCCCTCCTAAAGGTTGGCAAGGCAAAAATCAGAGGAACGCACCTGCGCAAAGCCCCATTACACCTCCCCTGAGCGCCATCCGTCAGGCGCCGAACAACCCATCTGCCTCCTTTGCGACAGCGACGGCAACGCGTGGCATGTCTTCCACAAGGCTTGTGCGGCAGAGTGGCCCCTTGGCCGCCAAAAAAAAAGAAAGCGGTTGGAGTCAAAGACGTCATACCTTGGAAATAGCATTGGAGGTGAAGCACGGTATGCCACGACTATTCATCACATGTACTCCTTCCCCTTGCGCAGTGAAGAAAGGTACTGGGGATGTCCGAAGCGTTCGGGTAGGGAGACTCCTTCCCTAATATTCGTAAGATGTCCATCGTTTTTGGCATGCCCCAGCTGGTGGAATGTGGCCTAGGCGGCGGGAGGGTCACTGGGGGCGACACTGAAATGCTTTTGCCACCATCTACCTCAATCCATGTTTCTTGGTGGTTCTCAGCCATCCCCTTAGGTTTTTAGTTGTTTTGAGATGTTTTTAGTTGGTTTAGTGGTTCGGTTTCCGTTTAACCCATAAGTTCGTGCTTTTAGCCAATCTGAACACGGGCCCACGCCAATGACCCAAGAGGGTCCCAGGCACCAAGCGCTTTGCCACGGCATCAGCTGTTTGGCCCACTGTGGATGGACAAAAAGATGACAAAGGCCTGCCCCAGTTGGTATTGTGGATGGACGAAATCCTGCACCGCCTGAGACTGAGAACCAGGAGAACGATGATTCTCTTGCAAATACCAACAAACAATGGTTTCCGCATGGCTCAAAGTGGTGCAGGATTTTGTCCAGCCACTGTAGGTCGTTTATCCCATCATTTTCAGGGGCTTCATCTATCCCAAGTGGCGCGAAGCGGACGAAGGTTTCGTCGGCTCGAAACGCCACCTTTTTGGAGCAACTCCTCGGTTCCGGCGCCTTAGGTTGCAACGGAGTGCCACCTGCCCGCTGTGCCGGAGGCAGTTGACCATTTCACCCTGACTCCCTTGGGGTCGTTTCTTCATTTCCTAGTGGACTGATTGGCCCACTTTTTTTTCACATTTGTCTCCTTTCCGGTGACAAGCACAAAGCAAACTTTTGGCATAAAGGGCTATGTTTGGCTTTTGACTTCAATCCTCTCAGGAAGTGAGTTGTCGGAAGGTGAGTCACGCGACTGACAACTCACGACTCAACTTGGCTGACTTTAGCTTATGTGCATCGATGGCTCCCCAGTTTGGCGATAAGGCCAAAATTGGGACTTGAACCTCTGAACATGCCCGCTTTAGGGTCTGCAACCCAGTACTTGGTGGTTGAGCCATCGACCTCCATATCAGAGTAATTGGCCGATTCGAGGCTTCAATCGGCCCGGAAGCATATAACATGCTTGTGCCTCAATGGAGGCCCTGCGGGCAGTTGTGGCGCAAGGCCTTTCAGGCCACATGTGATGCCAAAGGGATAGCAGGTCCACATCAAACATGTTGCTGCCAGGTTTGCAATAGTTCTGCTGTGCTTTCCGATTTGCATAATGCCGAATTTCGACTCACTTGGCTGCCAGATGTCCTGTATCAGTATGCAGTCAAAGAGTGGCCTATTGCGATGCATCCCTCTGACTCTTGTCAGTGTGGATGACCGTGGCCTGGCGGACCAATCCGGCCTATCATGCTGTTGTTTGTCACTTAGACGGCCTTAACATGCCAGCCACTCAAACAAGGATTTGCATGACATCACTTAAGCAAAGGGCATCACCGACAAAGGCAATGGACATCAGTTGAAAGGGACTGGGGGCAACTGGTCATGCCTAGCCTCCTCTTGGCGGTCCACTAAGCTTGGCCGCTCGTGCCGGCAGGCGATAATGGCCTGTTGCGGATTAGGGTGAGTCACGGTCACCTGCACCGAATATCCGCACCCAGGAAATAAGAGGGACAAACGCAGCCGGAACAAACAAGGTTTGGGTCTAAAGGACGCATCTTTACCAACAGCCCGTGAACTTGCCCAAGTTATGAAGCAGCGGGCGTGTTGCTTGCCGAATCTTTGTGGGGATTCTTGACTGCTATTGGGTTGGATCTTTAGACTTCCACTTTTTGGGACATCAAGGGGTTTTCTACTAAGCCCCAAAAGTTAAACTTTTTGCAGGGGAAGGAGTTGCGCGTCCATGCTTGAAGCGGCCGGATGACCGTGGCCCAAGCCGCTTCCTCGGACGCACAGGTGAGGAAGACGTGAAAAAAAAATCAGAGAGGGTATCCGAGTTCCTTGAGGGTGTGGCTCACTCCCTGAGTTTATGGATTTTAAGCCTTCGCTTTTGTGGCAAACAAACAAATGTGACTTTCTTTGGCCAGTCCACTCAGGCAGTGAGGCGTAGTTTTTGAGGCTTGTTTCCATATTGTCTTCATGTGGGGGGATGGTTTGCCTTGAAACCGGACATGTTGTTTGCTGTTTGTTTGGGGGGATATCTTTGTCTTGTTGTGGATATACTTGTTTGAGGCTATCGCTTCATTGGTCTCATATATAAGCAGAACCCTTCGGAACGGGAAGGCGCAACATGGCGCAACTAAATTGATCCGGATCCTGTTTGAAACACCCTCAGCTAGAACAGAGCCTAGCATGAATGAAGGGGTGATGGTAATCTGTGTCAGCGGTGAGAACTCTCACACTTGCAGGGCCTAAATGCAATTGCCAAGGCCCCTTGGTAACGGTGGGGGTGAACTTTGGACATATTAAAGTGCACGTCCTGGGGACGCGGACTGCATGCATTTTGGAGAGAGTAGAATCTCAGAAGCGCGTTTATACAAACCCTTTTGCATAGTTGCATGCAAAAGGAATCATACCTTTTAAAGCTTGCCATAGGTTTGGCAACCATGCTGGGACAATGGTTCTCTCACATCTTTGCCCTTGGCTAAAAAATGATGAAACAATCGGTTGAGGGGAATGTTGATCAAGGTTGAGACATAGTCCACCCCGTTTTGGGGAGCCCTGCAAGCTTTCGAAGCACGCCATCTCCAACAACGCGGCGCCAAACATTTGGGCTCGGAGTTCTCGGCTGGCCAGACGCGACCCGGGCGCTTTGTGGGGTTTCAAGAAAGGAACCAGCAGGAATGTCTCTACAGACTGATCCAGCGTAAAGGAGTTCAACTGTAAAGAATTTATTCTGCGGCTAGTTTCTTAGACCCGCAGGAAATTCCGAGTCTCCAAAATGAATGGACAAAGGAGACAGCAGATGTTTGTTGCAGCTGTTGTGAGATAGTCCGAGCCGGAGATGAGCCAAAGATCAGCAAAGACTCACAAATGTCAACGAGTCCTCCAGGAAATGGCTAGCGGATGCAAACAACATATCATTCCAAACATGTACTTGTGATGTCGACCAGAGCACTCAACCTAGCAGGTAAACTCCAAATAGTCCAGCTAGGGAATCCAAATCATAAACACATTTCAAAAGGTCACTCTCCAACTCATTTCATAAGCATCTTTGAAAAAGAACACTCCAAATCTCAAGTCATAAAGATCTTTAAACGACAAAGCAAAAACGCTCCAAGTCATCATGGTACAAATCACACTCCAAATCCTAGACATGGTCTAATCCATGTACCCCTTTCCACTGCCACCGGTCGGAAGCCTCGCGGCTCATGGCGCACTCCGAAGGCGGCTCCAGCTCAGCGGCCTCGGCGCCAGGCGCAAACATCCGAGATCTCTCCAACCTGCGTTCCGTGAGGTCTTTCGTCGGTTTTTGTTGTTGTTGTTTTTTTTGGGGGGTGGGGGGTGGGGGGTGGGGGGTGGGGGGTGGGGGGTGGGGGGTGGGGGGTGGGGGGTGGGGGGGTGGGTTGTGTAGGATTTTTTTTGGTAGGGGGACGTTCTTGTTTGTAGGATCAAGCAAAGCGACCATGTTGGCGGGTAAGAAAAAGAAGAAGGGTTTTTAGACGTTTTGGGTTTGGTTGCCATGTTAATGGTAAAAACGCAAAAAGTTCGAACCCTGGTTTGGTTGCCAGACGTTGCCAGCAAACACAAGGTTAAGACTTTTTGGGTGTGGTTGCCATTTGGTTGCTAAACAAAAGAAGAGTGCGGACTTTTTGCGGCCAAACCACTGAGAAATTGAAGATCAGTACCATTGTCTCAGCTGAAAAGCGACCTGAATTGACCTGTTGGTGTCCCTGGTTTCACATGTAGCGGCCCCAAGAGGTAATCGCCTTTTATTTCCGTTACCTTTGGAATGGACTTTTGATTTTGCTGGTTTCATGGCCCCAAAGTGACCTAACTGTATGCAATAATTCCTCTGGCTCAACGCCAGCGCATGCATTGAGCAGCCAAGATTTAGCTATCTTTGGAAATGACCTGTTGGTTGCCCTGGTGGACTGTTTAGTGGCCCCAAGATGTGATCACCCTGTATTGCCATGGCCCCAAAATGACCGGCTCAACGCTGTATCTAATAGTTCTCTGGCTCAACGCTAGCGCATGTATTGAACAGCCAAGATTTGGCTAGTTCATGTCAATTGGAAATGACCTTCTGTTTCCATAGGTTACAAAACCCCTCGCCCCTTATACCCCCTCCCCATTTCATCTAAGAGGTCTTTGAAGGGCTGTGCGCTAATAGCTTACTAATAGCTTAGCTTCCTAATAGCTTACTATTAGCTGCTAATAGCTTCCCGGCTTTAGCGTACAAATAGCTGCTATTAGGTAGCTATTAGCAGCCATATTTTCCTGCAGGATTGTGCGGGGTTGTCACGCTGCTTCAAACGCTCGAAGTCTTTACAGGCGGATGGTTGTTGCAAAGCCGCGATGGCTGGTACTGAAATCGTCGGATAGCCGCCAAGTTTTGGGTCATATCACAATATTGATCCCCGAAGATTTCAGCAATGTACAAGTCCACCGGGCACAGTCTGAGTGGTTCAATCAGCTGTTCAAACTGTGCGGCAAAAATGCCGATTGGGAGAAAAGGTATCAAAGCGTCCGAGTCTGGCGGAGTCTGGCTGAATTGCATTGCTCGCGGGGTCTAGGTAGCTAGTCACTGCTATTAGCAACCTATTTGCAAGCTATTTGAAACCGGGGGGGTCTGTAAGTCTATTGGGGCCCTAATAGCGGATTTTCGGACAAACCCAGGAAAACTGGCGAGGGCTTGAGTCGTAGGGGAGCATTTGGCAAAGAGAATAGCAAAGAGACGAGCTTTAGGGGAGCAATTTTCCCGAGTCATTTAGCAAAGGAACGAGTTTCAGGCTAGCCTGTCTCGTATGTTGTCGCAATTGGCCTTTACTGATCGAACCGCTTCGCTTGCAAATGCAAGGCGCGTGATTCAAGCCTCTCCCAAAGAGTGTTGCTAGCGGGGCTGGAAGTGCATTCCCCCAAGGACCTCTCCCAGGCACCCTAGGCAGATAAGCATTTTACACTTAAATGAAAAGGGGGGGTACAAGGGGGGGGGTTTAGTAATCTATCTATGGTGTTTGCCCTGGTCCAATATTAAGTGGCCCCCAAAAGGTGATCACCTTCTATGTCCGTTGGGCAAATGACTTACATCTTTGCCCTTGACTAAAATGATGATGGTAAAGACTTGCATCCTAGGAGGGTTGAACAATGACCAAGACAAATTAATGCTGTTGGGTGAAAGAACATGGCGCAGATCCCCCATGTTGATTTAGTCATCCCCTTCACTTTTACTTGCTAGGGAATTGTGCCATCTACTTGCACCCTGGTACAGCGATGGCGTCCACATCTGACATCCCAGTTATATTTACAGCAATGTCAACCCAGGGTCTTGAAACCCACGTTTGATGAACACGGGGTGTACTATTTCGGAGGGCCAAGGTCCAAAGTGCAGCGACCTAGCGGGGGTTGCCGAAAGATGACCTTTCCACTTTTGATTTCCAGTCACTGTCCACTAGCCACGGTTGCAACAGTCTTCAAAATGAACAACCTGCCACAGACTGCCAATGCCCTTTTTGAGTCATCGGTCGAGGTTTTGCTTCCCGGAATCTGCACTTGGATTCGAGCGCGCCCCCTGCCAGGGGAGAAGAAGGGTGCCCTTGTCAATGACTTTACAGTGCGCGGCTGCGTGCTCGACGCAATGCGACCCTTGGAAGAACTAACCGCGAATCAGTCCTGCCTCACCTAAGAATGTTTGCGTCGCCCCTGCCAGACTTGCAACGTCAACATCAAATCTTCACTCTTCTCATCGATTCAGTCAGGAAATGGGAAACCACTCAGTTGCCAAGGCGAGCCCAACTTTTAGTGTCTATAGGCTACCAGGTTCAGTCATGCATCTTGGAAAGGCTGCCCATCCAATTTCCGAGTTTATTCGTGGCGTAGCTCGATCAAAGGACCAGTAGGATTTTAGGCGTTGTCCTATCTTGCTCCCCTTTGGAGAAGTTGCTAAATGACCAGCTGAGTTGTCTCCTCTAACATTCACCTGGGTGTATGTTTTGGTAGAGTTGTCCTTTTTCTTTTGTTTTGGAAACCACAAAAGGGGGTACCCAGAACAAAAATCAACACCCACATGGTGGTTCGCGTGGCCTGCCACAGCGACCTAAGGGGGACGCCTTGTGCATGACTTCTTTGGTTGTGCCCACAAGTTGCTGCAAGCAGAGCCTACCCTTGACCAACGGGGAGGTCCGTTGTTTGGCCGCTTATGTCGCGACAGGAAACAGGCCTCCAAAAATGTCGTGGGGACCCCAGATCAGAGCTAGAAGCCGGAGCCGAGCTTGGGCTGCCGAGCAAAACCCCTATGTTTGCATGTTTGGTCCGCCCCAGAGGGAAGCCCTCCGATGTTGAAGGGATCCCTCATTTTGAGACATGCCGTTGAAACCCCCTCTTTCTAGCAAATGGCTACGCTTGTCACGACGCCAATGTTTTTCAACCTTGCTTGCGCCCGTGCACTTGGCACTTGGCATGCCTTTCGAAGACGTAAAAAGACGACCCCCCCCCCACCTGGACTTGGTTTTCACCCAACCCCCCCCCCCCCCTCAAAGCCTCAAAGCGCCAAGTGCCAGTGCACTTGGCAAGCCTTCTCAAAGAGAGAAAGACGACCCCGACCCCCCCCCCCCCCACCACGCCTCAAACCCGCCGGGAAACAATTCCTTCTCAGGTCTCCCTTCCGAGAGTCGCGTCTTTTCTGCTAGGCGAGGGGCTGCCCAAGGCCACAGCGAAGAAGTGGGTCCATGACCTCAGCCGGAACTTCTATGTACAGGAGCCATTTGGGGCATGAGTGTTTTGCGGAGGTGATATGCTTTTCAGGTTGATTTACAGGGCTTGTGGGATGCGGTTGGTTTACAGGGTTTTCGTGAGTCCAGGTATTAGGAGCCATTTGGAGCTGGGGTTACGCATGTTTTAGTCTTTGGTTCCATGTGCCAAAGGCCATTTTGGTACATTTATTTAAGCCACAGCCATTTGGGGCATGAGTTTTTTGTTGAGGTGGTATTCTTTTCAGGTTGGTTTAGGGTGTTTTGGGGGGTCCACCTAGATCTTACACATATGTGTTTGGGTTGGAGGGCCGTTTGGGGATGCTGCTGGCTGAAATTCCAAACCCAGGAGTTGTGTTGCTGTTGTTTAAGTTCTGTCGATCCCGGTTCCAGCTTGGGTTTGTTTTCCACCTTCGGGGACGTGTTGGCAGAAGGCGGTTGAAGCTTGTGAGGTTTGCTTGAGAGCCCGGTCTGTGTGCGTGTGTGCGTGGATGAGATTTCAATATGTGTGTTATCATGTTGGCTTGGAGGGAAAACAGCAGGACAGCCACAATTTCGGAGGTCCCTATTTTTTACACAGGCCCATTTAAGCGACGGCGCTTGCTGCATTGGCAGAGGAGTCTCCTCATATATATGGGCGTGTCATGTTTTTGGTGTACCCTTTTCGTGTGCATTGACTTGAAGTATGCCTACCTTTCGTGGTTCAACACCACACCTATTTGTGCCAATTCCAAGTGAGTGCCTCAAAAAAGGTATGTTCAAGGGGGAATGTAGCGCCCTGTTGGGCATACTCGCAGTCCTAAAGGTTCCGAGAAAGTGGTTGCGACGACAACTCGGGAAGTTCCATCCCAGGGACCGGACTCCGACTCCTGCGGGCTGCGAAGAACCACCGACGGTCGCAACCATTTGTTTGGAAGGTCGGGGTTTGACGTATACCCACAGGTGTCCCTTTTAGGTTGGTTTGCCTAGAAGCTGGTTTATTTCGCTCCATTGACCGGGGCCATCTATGTTTCCAACAGGTCACCTAATTATGCGCATACCTCGTTGAGTCTGGTCAGCAAGCCGCCGAGCAGGACGATGCCAGCTTCACCAAAGCCTGGCAACTGGGACTTCGAGAGGAATCGAGGAAGCCGTCCCTCAATTCCCTGTTGCGGAGAAACATGGAGCCCAAAAAACCATCATCTTGGAGGACACTCCTTTTGAGGACCCACTTTGTCGCCTTTGGGGGTTTCATGGAAAAATGTAGGGGAGGGAAAAATGTGGGGGAGCTTCCCTTTCTTGACCTCCAAAGGTGGCATGTTCATTGCCCAGGCCACAAGTAAGCTGCCACTGTGGAAATCCGGTGACCCGTGAGCGTTGCCCCTTTGGCGAAAGGATGGCCACCGCCGCCATACTGGGAAAAGCCCAGGTGAGAAGCCAGTCCTCAACCGAATGTTGGGGCCCAGAGCCACAAGGGCTTTTGAATAGTGATACAAATTGTTACAGGCCATCAAGGACCTATCGAACCATCAAGAATTATCAAGAATTATAGTTGTCCCATAGCCGGCTTTGCATCAGTATGCGCCCATGGAAGAATGCTAATGTGGGCTTAGGGTTTCATGTGAGCCCGAAGGGTTGGCATCACGGAACACGTCAAGGGCATCCCCTGAATAACTTGGTGACTGAACAGTTATCTTTGCTGTTTTAAGGTTTGATTTGATATAAGAGATACTGTTGTCGTTGGTCGTAAGGTTTTCCTTTTGGGCATCCTTTTTCACAAGGTCTAACATGAGTTTCTCACCAAGTACGGGAAATGTGACTATGGTTTCGCTTGGCAACCACCACCAAACTACTGTGGATGGACGAAGCCCTACACCACCCAATAATCCCTGGAATGATGACCCCCCTGTACATACCAACAAATGGTGTCCCATCAAAATCGAATTCAACCACATGGGCAAGGAACGCCCTCGGTAATTATGGGTCTCCTCCAAATATGATTTGATGTTCCAGGGTGGGCCAAATATTGTTTGGTCTTCCGCTGTTTTTTGGGCAAAGTGGGGGTTAAGAACATGTATGGGTTTGGCCTCTACACAAAGGAGACAATAGTTTCCATGTTTACGCATATATCTGTATATACATCGTGGAGTTCCTTTTTGGCGAGGTCCAATGTGTGTGTGTGTGTGTGGTTCCATTCGTGCCAAATGCACCTGCATCCCAAGACCATCCCAAGGCCATTCTAGGGGTTGATTCCCCATTCTTTTCAACCATCGTTCTTTCCAAAACCGGTTCCGTTTTCCCTGGGTTTCCTGAGGTTTTCTAGAAAGATTCGGATCCCTGGAAAGAATGGAAATGGAAGGTACCCCTGCCATGTCCAAATTTGCCCCGAGTGGCTTTCCCAAGGTATGAGCTGCGGCAGAACTGGGAGAAGCAGAGCACCCGGAAGCAGCGGAAGCAGCGAAGGCAGCAAGACACCCAGGCGGCGCCTCGGGAAAGCCCGCTGGGTGGAGCTTGGGATGGTCGAGACCTCCTGTTTGCTTTTTGTTGTTTTTCTTTCCGATGTGTGTGACGTAATGAGCCCGGAATTGGTGCTTTTCCCGAAAAAGGAGGCCAGAAGAGAGTTGGTGATGTTTTTTGTTTTGTTTTCTGAACGCAGCACACCAGAAGAGAGTGGGTGATTTGTGTTGTGTGGTTTGTTGACCGTAGCTTCTGGGTGCTAAAGAGCCTGGCTTCTTCAAAGCACGTCCGAAATCCATATGCCAGATGGTTCCGGCTACGGGTTGCAGATTGGGATTGAGGAGGCTCGCGCTTGAACAAGTCAAGTGGCCAAAGTTAAAGCCGAAAGGGAATTGGTGTAAGTGTAGCGGCATCCAGGAGTGCCCTGTTCTCTTCTCCATGGCCAAAAGTAAGGTCCGGGTGCCAGCTTTTTGTTGAATTTTCACAAATGGCGCGTACATGTTTGCTTAACCCCCTCTATTTACGGCCCCCATGTATGGAAAGGGGGGAGGCTACTGCAGACATTTCCTCAGTTGTGAATTGAAGCGGTGTGCGGAGAGGGGGCCACACTGTTAACAGCTAGGGTTGGGGATGCTGTCATCCTAGCCAGCGCCACAGCCATGTCCCATGTGGTTGGATGCTTGCACTTTTTCCGGGAAGTCAACTTGAGTGGGACCGTTTTGACCACCTCACTCAGGCATCGAGCTGTGCCCTTCCAACTGCTGGACTTCCTTACTTGCCTTTTAGATTTTGGCCGGTGTTCAGCCAGCAGGTTAATTGCACACTTCTTTCCCGGCCCTTTGGGCAGGTGAGATGTCCATTCCCAACAGGATTGACAGCAACCAGCGCCCAAAAATTGCATAATAGTTGGATTTGGTCCTGGCGGTTCTTTGCCCAACAGCTGAAAGCTACGTGCCTAAACAAGGTCGGGGTGGTTCGGAGCTGTTGTTCAGGGAAGGTTCTGGAGGTTCCCAGAGGGTTCCAAGGGCCCTGACTAAGTGGCCAAGCTCCAACATGCACCCAATGCCAAGTTGACAGCTAAGCCACCAGTACAGTTGGTTCTTGTAGGAGACCTTGCAATTTGGAGTTTTGGGTGGCCGCAGTGCATTGACGCAACCCCTTGTGGTTGGTTCAAAGGAAGCCCCAAGGGACTCGGAGCCTTCCTTGGGACAAGGATCGAATGCAAACGCATTGCAAACGCCAGGAGCCCTCGGCAAAGCGGGTGAAGACGCAGTCGGACTTGCAGACTGCTGCTTGGAAGACTGGCGTTTTTGGAGCAGGCACCCTTTGCATACCAACTAGTGGCAACCACAAAGTTTGGGACTTGTTTTGGTCAGTTTTTTTGCCGGGTATATCTCTTATTGATGATTGATAGTGGACAGGTTCTTGGTGGTGTTGTCTTGTCTTTTGGCATGTGTCTGAGTTGCCCCTGCTTGCAGCAAGTTGGAAGAAGTTCGGCAACTCGGGATCCCCCATTTTGAAACAACGCACAGATTGACCAGGTTCGCGCGGCCAATGAAACATGTCTTGTGCCGAAGTGAAGGTGGAAGGATACTCCCAACCATAAACAGGTGCAGCCGCCTGTTTAGTTCTTTACATGATTCTGGCTAGACCATGTTCATACCAGGTTTTGATTATGACTCATTTGAAGTTGCCATGGGATCTGGGACCCCCCAAGCTGGAGCAACGCTGGCGGATACTGAACATCTCAGGTCCTGGACTGCCTCAAAGCGGCGCAAGAGGACTTGCAACAAGGCCGATTTTCAGCCGGCCCCCGCCCATCCACGGAACTCTTGATTGCTATTGGGTTGGATCTTTAGACTTTTACTTTTTGGGAAAGCAAGGGGTGTCCGTTGAACCCACAAAAAGGTAAGACTTTTTGCAGACGGGTCAACAGCAACCAAGAACTGTCATTCTTGTTTTCCCCCAACCCAGCTGAAAGCTAGGGGGCTTCTACCCGCTTAGGTAAGCTCTGGAGAAGGGTTTCGGAGGTTCAGGAAGGGCTCGCGGGTTGGTGTTGGGGATGCCAGACAGAAACATCACATCAGTTTGCCCATTCCAAAATTGAATTTATCTCCTTCTTTTGGTGAGGTGACGTTTCAAGGTGGCATGTTGTCCCTGCAGCCGGCCAAACCGGGCCCCTCTACCGCACTTCTCGGCCACTGACCCTCCGGCAGCTTGCCAGTTGTGCGAACGTCGTTGAAGTCACTGCGCCGCGTGCGCCATGACAGGTTTTTAGAGTGGCTTCACACCGTGGGCCTCCTGCCTTCCCCGCACGCAACCGGCAACTTCCATGGGGCTGCAACAAACAACGCACGGTTTTGCATGTCCAGAACTACCAAGGGTTGCGAAGTCCAGTTGCTGAATTGCTGTTTTGAAGAGACATGGTCATGACTGGTGTTTTGCTGAGCGGCACGAGGCCTGAGGGGCTTGGAGCCACCGCCTACAGCCCGAAAGTTCCGACATGTTACGCCCTGGGCGCCAAAAGAGACACCCGCTGGGAGATGAAACCCGCTGGGCAAGTGGGTCATAGCCACGGTTCTGAGGTGCCAGCCCCAGTTTCATGCGTAGTAAGACCGTGGTTGTGCGTAATTCGTTACTTGCAATGGCACAGATGCCCTGCAGGTGTGTGCGAGTCTTTGGAGAAGGATCCTCGCCGGCACTTGGAGTTTGCATGGGTCAGTTAGGTCAAGGGTGCAGCGTGCGAAGGGTTTGCTGGAACCCCCGGTCCCAACTCAAACCGTGACCCCTACAAATGAGCGTGGAACCCGACAGGAGTGGCCCCCCAAAAGGAAGCGTTGGAGATGTCAAAGCCAAAGCTGTCTTGGCAGAGCGTTCTGCCATGTGATACCACTTGGAGGCCATGACTCCTTCACTTATTACTTTAGGAATTAGTTTTTTCCCTGATGTCACATTGAAACACCCAATCCCACCACAACCCCATGCCCAAGAGTCAATTTGTGTATGTCTCAAAATTGCGACCCGTTCAACAGCATCGCACCGCCAGAAAGGGATCCCAAAGGTTGTTGCAGCCCTGCGGCTGTGTGTCACAACTGATGAGTTGGCAACCTCGATTTGTGTTTCATCTTGTTCCCTTGGTTCAACCCCTTTCCAAGCCAGAGGTTTCTAGGAGCTCAAGTTGGCAGTGAGCCATCGCCAGCCTCAACTAACCAGTTGCCCATGTGGGTTCCGTTTTTTTCCTTTGACTACCAGAGTGTTCCCCTTTAATGTTAATGTGGGGGTGTCCGTCACTGGTTTCAGTGGGGGTTCATCACTTTTGGAGGGGCCTCCACCCCCACATTAATAAACAGGGGTTGATGAATCCGGGTCAACATTAAGTCTGGCCAAGAATCCTTCTGACTCCACCCACGCGGGGAATGCAGTCCTGAGGCGGCCGCGGTTCACCTGTCCATTTCCCTGGGCTCAAACGCTGCTGCGGTGCTGGCGGCGTTAGGCGCGGAGGGTGTGCGGGGACGCGGGCGCCGCAGACTGGCCGGGCCAAACAGACTTTCTTTTCGACTTTTGGGGGAGAACCAAAACCCAAAGGCGCCAGACAAAGTTGACTTTCGATGTTCAAGGTAAGCGGTTGAGGGTTTCAAGCGCGAAACATTCGAAGGATGGGTGCAGACCCTAAACCCACAAGCCCACCGTAGCCCCAACCAAACCCACCCTTAGCCACCCTGAACCAAACCGAAAGCCACCCCAAATCTAACCTTAAACCCCTAAAACCACACTAAAACCACACCCAACCCAACCAAAAGCCAGCCTGAACCCACCCTCCCCCAAAGCCCAAACTGCGAAGACAGTTCCTGAAAGAGGGCACTCCTTTTGGTAGTCCAACTTTGTCATATGTTTTTGTCATGGCAAACTAGCCCGGGGCCTTTGGTCAGGGTTCCCTAATGTTCCTTGTTTCTGGCGGTTCTTCACATCACCCTTTGAGCCACTGCAAAGTGAGTTTTCTTCCGCGGTTATATTGAAAAGTTGGAAATGGGTATTTGAGCACCTAGAGTGTTTTCACACCCCATATCCCAAGACCATCCCGACCTTGTTTGAATCATTCTCCTCCTTGTTCTTCCCCTTCTGAGGTGAGGTGTGTATGAATACAACCACCCCACCTCCCCTTCACCCCAAATGCTACCTATTTCTCCACCTGCCAGAAGGGGTACACATTTTCGTTTCGCTGAATGTCACCTGTTGGGCCCAGGTTTCAGTCGGTTGGTTTTCGATAGTATTTTAAGGATGATCGTCTTTAGACAGTTTTGCAGGAGTGATGCGATTTCCGTGGCCTAAACATCTCAAGATCTTGACTGCTAGGGCTTATGTTCCCATGGAAGGAGGCCGCCAAGGCTTTGACTGCTGAGGGTCTTCGCCTTGGGTTGGCCTTGGTGGGTGACGGTTGGTCACGCGGAGGGAGCTGCAAGAAGGAGGTGGCGGAGGGCAGCAGCTGCGTGACGGCGCTTGAGCGGTGCCTGGATACTCTCTGGGACCTACGCTTCAAGGTGGACTCACGAGCGTAGCTTGCGCCTGTGTCAGGCCCAGCTGACTGAGCTTCATCGCGGCAGCGGGGACAACATCTGGCTTGTGGGCTTGATTTTCCTGCTTGTTGGATTGGCCTTGGGGTTTTTACTGGGATCCTTCTGCAAGGGGAGGAAGCAAGCTCATCGAGACCGTGGTGCCAGTGTGACAGCTTTCCCTGTTGCTTTTGATCAGCTGAAGCAGCTCGTGGGCGGCCATGCCAGCCAAAGCCGGTCCAGCTCAACCTCCTCCGAAGTGGCTCGTGCAAGATCGCGCGCTCGTGCGCTTCCGGGATGACCCTAGTTTGCTTCACTGCCGGTTGGTCCTGGTCTGTCACTCTGGAAACTTGTGCCTGGTCTCCACCCCGGACCGCGACATCAATGAGGTTCGGCTGGAGGTGGGTGGGACTTTTTCTGAAGTGATGCGCATGGAGGGAAACAGATTGCCTGCTCAAATCAGAGAACGGGATACCTATCTACCAAAGCATAGTGGTGGAGGTGATATTTCCAGCGCTGAAGTTTTGGAACTGGTGGGCCAAGCAGAGGCCCTGGGCTTCGAGACCGCGGCGAGGAGACGCATCCATGGCAAGCTGGACGAGGGTGTTCGGGTTCCGATGCCGGCAGCCCGGGAGATCCCTGATGTGGCTGAGGATGACGGCAAGATATGGCTGGCGGTGTACAGCAGCCATGGCAAGCATGTTGGCGATGAGGTGGCATGTCCGGCTGATGCGACTAGGCTGATGGTAGCTGGAAAGCAGTTTGCGCTGTTCAGCCATGGCGAGGATGTGGTGCTGGCACGCAAAGTCGGGGCAGAGGAGGTCTCCAAGCTCGGGGAGGCTCTGCGAGCCGGAATGGGGGCTACAGAGGAACGAGACCTTCGAGTACTCCCTGTGCAATATGACACTGCAGAGGAACGGTGGCGCACGCTGGCAGAGGCAATCCCCGAGTATGAGGAGATTGATTTTGATGACTTTCCCTTGCAAGGTCCCCGAACGGTGTTCAGAGATACACGTCAGTTGAGGCGTCAAGGGATGGACTTCGTGCAGCATCATGAGTCCTGGCTGAAGAAGTCTGGGGTTCGCATCAGCGACCGCAGCGTCCATGAGCACGCCAGTCTCTGCCGAGCCTTGAACTTCATGGCCTGCTATGACCAGCTCAATCTGCCGGCGCTGGCATCAGCCGAAGCGCTGAATCGGCGGCGCGCCTTGATTGAGGTGGCTCATCAAGGACGACCTGAGGCACCATCGTATGAGGGCGCAGAGGAGATATTGGGCATTCGCGAGAGTGCCGATGGATCTTTAGTCGACCCAGCGCTGACTCAGCACGCAGCCAAGCGGCAGGCAGCGCGTGCGGAGGTGCTGAAGCAGAAGAGGCTGGCGGCGGAGGAGAAGAGGTTCATCAAGAAGTGGGATGATGATGGAGAAGGCGGGGAGCAGAAGGGCAAAGGACGAGGTCGAGGACGTGGGTTGAAGCCCACCCCTGAGCCCTGAGGAGTCAAGCCCCCCAGGCCGGAGTGGCGCCCGGTCTGGGGGTGAAGAGGTTTTTGGCGCCAACAACATTTTTCCACAGCCTTGGGAACGGTGGGGGGATCTTTTTCCACTTCCCCTCCCTGCTGATCATGGTTTCCCTCTGGAGGCGCTCGAGGAGGGCGCAGCAACGGGTCACCAAGAGGCGGCGCTTCTCCAACGGGAGCGGTCGTCGGTGCAGGCCTTGAATACTTTGGCTGGTTTCGAAAAACCGGATCAGTGGCCAGTGCAGCCGCTGAATACAGCTCAGCGGAGTGCGCTTTTTCATGTGCATCGGGCGCATCGCGAGCGGCCGCCGCCGGCCGCCTCGCAGAGCCCCCAGGCAGCGCTACGGCAGCTGCTGAAGAAAGGGCCCGGCTATTCAAGCGGCCCGGGACAGCTTGCAAGCTATGTGAGGGAGAAGCTCTCGCTCCCTCGTGACCAGCAGTCTCCTGTCAGGATTGAGAGTGTGCTGCCGACCAAGGAGGTGTTCAGGGTGGCAAATTTTGCCGATGAGATGCTGCTGGACGAGGAGGAACGAGCGGGGGTCCTTGAGAGAGGGCTTGAGGGACTTTGTTACATGGACCCCATCCTGGCGAACAACAAGAAGAAGTATCATGAGTTCATAGCTGATCTTTTCCAGAGCGGTATTTTGGGTTTGACTTCACTCCCAAAGGTCCAGATCGGGGCCTTCATGGTGAGCAAAAAGAGTGGGGCCCTTCGTCTCATTGTTGATGCAAGACGTACAAATCGCCTGTTTCGTACCCCCCCACGCACCTTGTTGGGCAGCATGGAGTGTTGGGGTAGGTTGGAGGCACCGGAGGGAGATGATCTGTTTGTGGCACAAGAAGATGTACGCGACTTCTTCTACCGGTTGGGGATTTCCAAAGAGCTCGGCGAGTACTTTTCATTGCCACCAATCGAGCCATCAACGCTGCAGGGTATACTGGGTTTCATGCCGGAGGAGTTGGATTCTTTGGTACAGTGCAATGTTGGGCCCTTCTACCCCCACATGTCTGTCATGCCAATGGGTTTCAGCTGGGCTTTCCACTTGGCGCACGAGGCCCACGTGGAGATTGCCAGAAGATGCCTGGTCAGGACTCCGTTGATGAGAGACCGGGAGCCTTTGAACCCACTGGGGAGGGGAATTGGGTGCAGCGAGAAAGCTATCCTGGTATACGCAGACAATGCAAATCACTTGGGTAATGGTGGAGAGTCTGGAGCAACATGGACTTAGCACTCATGACATAGTGGAGGCATCCACTCTGGCAGAAAGTCTGGGGATTCGCATTGACGGTATGAGCGGCAGGATCACGCCCACGTGCGAGCGGGATTGGCGTCTGGACCGGGCGCTAGAGGCGCTGAGCTGGGAGCTGGGGGCCTGCAGTTTCTGGGGAGGAGTTGCGTATTGTTGTGGGTCACATGACAGTGAGAGCTCTTCTGCATCGTGGACTCATGGGCATCATGAGGCATGTTTATGTTTTCATTGAGCAGTGCCTGGGACGACGAGTGAAGCTGTGGGAGAGTGTGAAGCGCGAACTCAGGCTTTTCAGACACTTGATGGTCCTGGGAGTCAATGATATTTGAGCAAACTGGGACCCGAAGTGCCTCACAGGTTACGCCGTCATGGAGAAGTGGGGCGGGCAGTACGGTGCAGAGGCTGGCAGATGGGATGAGCGCTGGCGTTTCAAGAGGGCTCGGTCCATGACGATTGCGCCCCGCCTCCATGCTTTGGGAGCAGATGCCATTTTTGACGATGTGCTCACTGTCTTGCCTGTTACGCATGGAGAGGATCCTGGAATGTTGGTAATGGATGAAGATTTCCCTGAGGTGAGCAAGAGTTTTCTAGAGCGCGCTGAGTGGACACTGCTTTGGAGGAGCCGGGTGCACTTCAAGGAACCGGTCCATCTCATCGAGGCCAGGAGCGTGCTGGGAGCCATGAAACATGTCTCCAAGGACGCCTCCCGGCATGGCAGTCATGTTTTGGTTTGCAATGACAACATGGGGGTTACCTTGGCTTTTCAGAAGGGGAGATGTGCAAACTATGGGTTGTTACGCATCCTTCGTAGAGTTGCTGCTCTCAGCCTGGCCAGTGGGATCCGCCTTCACGTGCGCTGGGTGCCCTCTGAATGGAATGTCGCAGATGAGGACGTGGGAGCCCAGGAAGAAGTGCTCGGAGGGTAGAAGTTTTCACCAAGGAGGAGGTCCGTCGACAGCACGAGAGACTGAAGCACAGTCCCATCGCGGAGCAGATCGAGAGGAAGGGGGAGAAGAGGAGCCGCTCACCAGCAGAGAGGTCGCGGGTCCTGCTCTCTCCCAGTTTGAGAGGGCTGATCAGAGTCCATCAAGAAGAGAAAGAGAGCCATGGAGAGGAAGAAGCGCTACGAGCAGAGGCTGAGAGCCTCGCTGGGGGAGAAGAGTCTGCTAGAGATGGCCAGCATCAAGGAGCCACAAAGGAAAGACTATGCGCGGAGGCTGGAAGGATTTTACAGCTTCATCATCAAGTACGAGCCATTGGAAGCAAGAAGGAGCTAGACGCAGCGCTTTGCGAGTTCGCCGACCATTTGTTTCTGGATGGGGAGGATCTGAGCTGGGGTCAGAAGCTGCAGGCAGCCATCGAGTACGAGAGGCCGGAGTATGCCCGGGACGGGCGGCTGTCGCTCCCACGGTTCAAGAGGGCTACGAAAGGGTGGAGGCAGAAGGCGCCCCCGCAAACAAGGTTGCCGATGCCAGAGTTTCTGAAGTCAGCTATCAGTGCAGTGATGCTCTTCAAAAAAGAGCACAGCATGGCGCTGTACAACGAGGTCACCTTCAGCACATACGCAAGGCCCGGAGAGATGCTGCGAGTGTTGGCGCCAGATGTTGTGGCAAACAACAAGGACTTCGAGCATGCGGTGATCATCCTAGGACCTTTAGAGAGGGGGGAGTCGTCGAAGGTAGGAATCTACGACGAGACGCTCATCCTGGACGACACGCGTGCGCTCTGGCTGGGTGGAGTGCTTTTGCAGCATGCAGCTCAGCGCTCCAGGGGGAGGAGGCCATGTTGTGGGATTTCACAGCTGCGAAATACCGGAAGGTCTGGCGGAGTGCAGTGGAGGCCTTGGGCGGAGAAAGCATCGCACAAAGCCCTTATCAGAACCGGCATGGAGGAGCAAGCAGGGATCACCTCAAGAAGCTCAGAAGCATCCCAGCAATTCAGCGCAGGGGCAGGTGGGCGTCGGACAGCAGTGCAAGAATATACGACAAGCCGGGGCGGTTGCAGCAGGTGATCAACCAGTTCGGGGATCGGTATCTGGAGCTGGGAGAGGACATGCAGCGCAACTTCGGCATTTACTTCCACAGTGGGTTGACCAAGATGCCACGAAAACTGCGAAGGCTGCTGGAGGTTGTATGTCGGGAGAAGTCTTCCTGAGCCTTTTTGGTGGAGTTGGTGCAGGCGCCCATTTTGTGGGAAACCAGGGGGGTCGAGCCATTTTGGTTGACCTTGATTTTTCTGACTGCAACGATTTGGGGCGGCCTTCCAGATGGAGTGATGTTCTTCTTCTGGCGATGCAAAGCAGTATAGTCGGCATTGATTTGCCTTGTAACACGTGGTCTCGGGCCCGGCGGGCACCTTGGTGGTCCAAGATGCCTTCAGCTTTGAGGTCAGACGCCTGCATTTTTGGGTTACCCAACTTGAAGGAGTCAGACCAACGTAAAGTAACGGCTGCAAACCACATGGTGCGACAATCGGTACGCTTGATTCGCTGGTGTGTTTTGCAAATGGCCGATGCGGATATTTGGAGAATCCCTGGACTAGCATGGTTTGGCACGTTCCACGTATTCAACGACTGTTGCAACAAGGACTTGCATTTTTGGTGCGCGCTGACATGTGTCAATACAACACGCAATGGCGCAAACCAACTGGCATATTGGTTTGGGGCTGCAGTCCATTTTCCATGAAGACATGCGGGCAGGGCTCCAAATGTAGCAGAACGCACAAACCTCATGTGCAACTGACGGGCGTTGCGGGGGGCAAATTCCGCACGCATCAAGCTTGCTAGAGCGCTCCTGCTGCAAATCTCCCACCACAGAGCCCACCCATGAGCCATTTTGAACATGGGGTTTGGGGGCTCGCGCATCCGGGTCTCGACAAACTGAGCCTTGGTGTGCGCGGTTTCTTTTTCAGTGCACGCAGGCGAGTTTTGCAAAGCGCAACTCCCTACTACCCAGTGACACCGAGAAGGTGCTCAGAAAAGTCTGGCAGCAGCACAGATGCATGATAGTCTTTAGACAGTTTTGCAGGAGTGATACGATTTCCGTGGCCGAAACATCTCAAGATCTTGGCTGCTCCCGCCCTCCCCCGGGGGCTCGCACATCAGGGTCTCGACAAACTGAGCCTTGGTGTGCGCGGGTTCTTTTTCAGTGCACGCAGGCGAGTTTTGCAAAGCGCAACTCCCTACTACCCAGTGACACCGAGAAGGTGCTCAGAAAAGTCTGGCAGCAGCACAGATGCAAATCTAGGAAGCCCTGCAAGTACCTAGGTAGTTTCCAAAAATACTCACTCCCTGAGTGCATGGACTTCAAACTTTGTTGGAAGACCATGCCAGTGGCAAACAACAAGTTGGATAGTTTGTTTGGCCACTCAGGAAGTCAATTTTGTGGAATCTGTAAGGGAAATAGGTGCAAGGGGGGTGGATAGTTAAGAGGCCTAGGGTTCCTTAGGGTTCCTTAGGGTTCCTTAGGGTTCCTTAGGGTTCCTTAGGGTTCCTTAGGGTTCCTTAGGTCCATAAGGTTCCTGAAGGGATTCCATGAATAAACCAGAGAGAACTCACGGACAAAACGTCAAGTCCCGGCGGAATGAGTCAAAGCAAGTCCGAAGCCCCGCTCGCAGGCAGTCAGGCGCGCCTGGAGGATGCTTGGCACCGCAGCGGTCAGCCGGGTAGGTTGACATCCACACCACCCGTCCATTTGGCTGTGGGTCAAAACCAAAGGCACCATTTTGGGGTAGCACCACACACTTTAGTCTATTTTAGTGGGGATAGGGATGTTCACTGGGGGTACGGGACCCATGCCCATTTGGCTTTCCTTTTTGGAGGGGTTTCCAACTTGAAAATCATCCTTTCTTTCCAGAATGACTAATTGCTGGCGAGGACAGCCCAAGCTTGCCCCCCAAAAAAGTGTGGAGGCACCTGGTGCCAGGCCAATGTGCATGGATGAGCTCCGCCATTTTTAGAGGTGCCCCATTTTTTTCAGGAGAATCTATCAATCACGATTGCACATATCTTCTCCCAGGGGTTTTAAGCAAATGGGTGTGTTTGTTGTTAGGGCGCCCCACAAAAATTATATAAACAACTAAACAACGTAAGAATGTTTGCGTTTTCCTTTTTATCTCCCGTTCAAACCAATCAAAATTGGGGTATCCACAAAAATGGACACTCCCACATGGAGGTTAAATCCACAGGTCACAGCTATTCCGCAGGTCTTTGTTTTGCGCCTAGGACCTGCCCACGAGCCCTGGCGCCCTGCGCACGCTGCTGAACAATGCAGGCGCTGCGTTCATCGTTCTGCCCGCAAAACCTGCGCTTGGCCGAGGATGGCCAACTAGGTCCCCCAGTAGTGCCCCTTTTACCGTTTCTTTTTTTTGGGAAGGGTTCCCCTACTAAAATAGACTACAGAAAAAAGGGTACCCTTATTCTAACCTCTCTACTGGAGGACCTAGCCAATTGTGTTCTGTCCAACAGCTGAAAGCTATGGGGTCTCTGCCCAGAAAGGGTCTGGAGTGGTTTGGGGCTGCGCTCAGGGATCTGAAGCGTTCCATGGGTTCCGAGGCTGTTGGGGATATCACCTGATTGTTTCTAAAAAGATGTGGGGAAGGGGGGTGCCCTCCCAAAGAGTAAGCATGGAACCAAGGGTGCGAACGTTTGGCCCCAAAAAACAAACCTTGAACCTGCAAAAACAATCCTTCAAGACCGTCTTCGCCCAGGTTTCCACAGTCGGACGGTCTTTTTTTCAGGGGCGAGATTGCTAGCCCTGTGACAACGTCTGCGAGGCACACCTTTCTTCCAGTGGTTCTGGGCTGCAAAAGGCGTAAGCTTTGGATCAACATACCAAGGGTTGGGACATGTAAGACCACCCTCAGGTGTCCCTTACCTGCTGCGCCAAGTACACCTTCGCAGATGTAAAGAATAGGAAGGATTAGAACCTCAGCTCGCTTTGGGGTCAGCCTGTCCATACCCTTCACCCAGGTTGGCTCAGGGGTGAGTTGGCGCTTCGAAAGGCCCGCCTATGGCGCTGAAGCAGCTCACGCTGCTGGTGCACCCGGACAAGACCCAGCACCCTCGAGCCTCAGAAAGATGTGTTCTGCACCAGAAAAACTGAAGCTGAAATCGCAGATGTCAAGTCTTTTTGGGGATCCAGATCTGATGTGGCTTCGCAAATTAATATGAAAGGCTGGCTGGACATCAATCGCGAATTGAGATTGTTCCCAGCTGTCCAAACTGCTGAGCAAAGTCTAGTTGCTTGCGATAATCTTCTTTTAGTTGTTGCTGGCATTGCAGCTCCTGGGGCACAGAATGGTAAAAACAATAGGGGTCAAACAAGCAGAGTGGGGGATTGTGGTGCCTGAAGGATGAACAAACCTGTTCTTGCCAGGCCGTCGCATTTGCGGGTGCCCTTTTCGTGGTTGGTTAAGGGCAAACCAAGGACCATCACCTTTTGCCTGACTACGTTCGGGCCTGGTACGCGACAACAAAAGGACCACCACCATTGTTGGAAACTCTGGCTTTGACATACGCACATGTCCTCGTACATACGTGGGCGATGCCTGCGTTTAAAGGAGTGCCACAAGAACGTCAACCATTTTGATTGGCAAGTTTTGAGACAAGCCTAACGAATTGCAGTTCTATGTTGCCCTTTGCTCTGACATGTCCTTTGAGTGGTGTTCAAGGTGATAATGAGCTTTGATGTGTCCTTTGAGTGGTGTTCACGGGCGAAATGTAGGGAGCGCTGTGATTCGCAGCAATATGGAGGTCGAGTTGTTCTTGACTTCTCCGTAAAATCACATGGAACCCAACAGCATTCTTTCTGGAGGAATCTCTTTTTGGGGCTACCCGAGTTCCATGTGAATTTGCAGGAGAGTGAAGCAAAGTGCCTTCCTGCGAAGCATGAACGCTGGCACCAACTTGTGCAAGGCGAACATGTGTTTGGGCCATCCTTCCCTTTAAGCTTTGCTGCAGTCCAATGGGCTGTGGTTTTTCCATTAAAGTGGCAATGGTCTCTCCATTTCCCTTTTTTGGACCTCCAAAAGTGGCGATTGTCTCAATGGAAGCCAGTAAACTGATCAAATTTTGAAGGGGCAATCCAGTGATGGATGGATCAGGATTGGCCAAGACATCCGATTTCGACAGAGACCCGCATTGGCTGAACCGCGATTCCGCCTGACGCTTGTGTTGACTTTGTGAGACCCAACTGTGGATGTCCCAAATGGACTTCATCCATTCACAACCTCGTGGTTTCCTTTGGCGGAACCCATCCACAGCCCACAGACCCGTGGTTTCCTGTGAATTTTGCGGAAAAGGTCCTTTTTGCACATCGCCGAAGCAGAAACCGTGGAACCGCGCTTTCCTGCTGGTTGCGAAAAAGGTCCTGTTTTACATCATCAAAATGTGAGGAGCACCGCTTCCGCCACCCGCCCACCCGCCTCCTCCTCGAAACGAGGCGCCAAGGAGGCCTTTCAGCGTCTCGCACCGGAGCTCCGCGCCAAGATGGCCGAGCTCTGACGTCGCCGCGAGGCTCGCGTGGCGTTTTCCACCACGGGCGGGGTCACCGGGTAACCGTCGCTGGGGTTGTGATGGATAGGGATAGATGGGTGTGGCTCAAAATAATGAGGGTGACGCAGGTCTTAGTCGACTTTTCCGTTCAACAGGGTGCCATTTTGGGCCACAGCCAGATAGATAGAGAGATAGCTAGACCATGAAAATATGTACGCGCTCTGATCGTTGCCTTGCTAGATAGATAGACGGATAGATAACCAGATACCGATAGATACATCGATAGATATAGATAGATAGATAGCTCGATAGCTAGATAGATAAACAGATAGATACATAGATAGATAGATATATATATATATACATCAATAGATGCACAGATCGATAGAGATATAGATAGATCGATAGATACGTAGGTATATTTTATATAGAGAGAGATACGGAGAGATAAATCAATAGAAAACAGGTAGATAGAGATATAGAGAGACACATAGATAGACAGAAAATGCGGTAAACATATAGATAGAGACAGATCTACAGACATATAGGTAGGTAGATGGATATCTATGTATAGATACATGGGCGTTGAGACAGATAAACATAGATATTTGGATAGATCGCTAGGTTAATGGACATATAGATAGATAGAGATAGATAGATCAAGGGATAGATAGAGATAAATTTGATAGAGATAGGTATAGATATTTAGCGCCACCGCATTCTTGCGGGCAGCGAGCCAACCGAATTGCAAACAACCTCGGATCAGCCAGGACAAGCAACGTCAAAAACCCATGAGTTTGCAACGGGTCCCACTTCTCTTCTTTCTTGGAGTGCTTCCAACTACCCGTTCGGTTTCCGACCCGGCGTGTTGTTCTTGTGGGGGAGGGGCCTGTTTAGCAAGACGCCTTTTTGGTCATATGAGTTTCGATTGTTTGACGAACCGGTAAAGAGCTCTGTTTCGGGGGGTGCAGCTGTCCAGTGGCTATGATCATTTTTGGGCGGTTCCGTTCAGAAAGTGGGGGATCAGTTCGACAGGCCACTGGGCAAGAAATGTACTAAGTACCATGTCAAATGCGGCGGGCCAAAGGGGCTTGCCAAACTTGTGTGCCTGCCGCAGGAGCTGGGCTGCCTTTGGCATATGTGAAGGCAAAAGGGTGCGCAGATGCCTTGCTTGCATTTCCCGCAATTTAGTATGGAACCCAAAACGGGCGTCTAGCAACAGGAGGTGCCTCCAGAGTTGACAACGTTTGTTGAATGCAAAATGCAGGTACCTGCTCAAGCGCCTAAAGATAGCTTGGGTCCTGTTGGTTTATGCTAGTTGGTTAACTTTTGTTTGCTTCAAGCCGGCAGCTGGCATCTTACTGGTCTTAACGTAACCCTAGACAGATAGGAACCAAGAACCAGTACCCAAGTTGTAAATGGATGGCTGGCCAAGAACCAAAACTGTAGTTGTGTTACGCCTGTTAAGCGTCACGCTTGTTTTGTCAGATGACCCTTGCTGAATAGTTTGAACTGGTGGCTCCAAGCCACTGATTTAAGCGAAGGGGAACCTCCCTTGGCTCCTTTGTTTCCGGCCTTTGGCGACCCCGAAATGGGCCCTCAGGGCTCCCGTCCATAGCACTTGCTACTCCAGAACTGATGCATTTGTTTGGCTAAGCATTTGAGGTTGCTTAGCCTCCCTGCACCACTGGCACCGACAGGACCCCCCTCAAGAGGACATGTATCTTCCAGGCCCCCTCCCACAACGTCATGCTGAAGTCATCAGCTTGGACCTGCAGATGAATTGGATCACACTTGGATAGCTTTTCCTCGAGCCTCCACTTGCCTATTGAACGTCCAGGGCAAAAGCGGTGAGACGGTATTCATTGTGGGGAGGGATTTAACCTAGAGCATGGGCAGCATTCCGGTAACGCATTTTTCGCCAGTCAAGCTTGGTAATTGTTGCATCGAAGTCAAATTTGAAATCCGCGTCTGGGCGCTTGCGTTGCATTTTTTTCTGAGACCCAACTCAAGGCAACGAACATGTTGCGTTTCTAGTTTCAGGGGGGTTGCCCCTGTCAGGCTTACAATATGATTACAAGGGCTTTGCTTGGTTTCCTGCCTGGAGTATACTATGTAATGCAGAATGGCCGGCATGAGTTGCTTTTTGCAAGAACAATCCAGCTGCAAGCCTGTGTCGTGTTGCAAGGTGGACTTGGGAAGTTGGTTTCTCAACACCTCTTTTGAAAAGCAAACAGGAGTGTAGACTTTTGTTGAGTCGTGCAATGAAGACCAAGCGCCATGGACCCCTGACCACACCACCAAGCGATCTTTCTGTTCGCTTTGACACGAGGGGTCATGGGGTCCAGGAACGCTCAAGGTCCCCTCTTACAGCGAAGCAGTTCGCACGTGCGAGTTGCGCAGTGCCGGATCTTTGGCTCATACTTCAGCCCATAGACATTTCCAATGATTGTTAATCGCTGGCTGAGACAACTGCCGATTGTCTGCCGATTTAAACGTCTCGCAAGCACGGTTCAAGTACTGCGATGCCCCTGCACGCCGCGCACAAGCACTTGCTAACTATAGGGGCATCGACCTGACAACCTCTCAGGGTTGGGGTTGGGCGCCATTTGCTTCAGCAACCAGAACCTGGCTCCTTCGAAAAGGGGGGGGCCAAAAGGAGGTGAAGTCAAACATGTTGGCCCTGACAATCTAAAGCAGGGCTTCAGTCCCTTCTATGTGCCTGTGCAGATGTCGCCCCGTAACTGCAGGATCAAGGATCGGGCATTTCCATGCTTCAGCCGTACTCTCGTGGGTGGCCTCCCCTTCTGACAAGACCAAGCCTTGGCTGAGAGAGTACCCTTCCTCCCGAATTTGTGGGAGGCTACCTGGAAGATCAATGTCCTTTTCAAGCGAGCCTCTGTCAGGTGCACGCATTTTTTTGGGAGGGAGAGTAGATCTCACAATCTACCCGCGGCTTGAATTGACAAGCATGACGCGGGAAGTGTTTGTTTTTTTTTGCAGCTGGCTTCGCGAGGGACTCGCGGGCGGGGGGAAAGTAGCAGTTTGGTTCTGACTGGAGGTACCTCCAAAAGAGTTTGCTGACCCATCTAGTTGACTACCCAAAGGCTAAGCCGCCGTCACGCTTTCCCTTCCCAATGGAACTGGAAACATGCCCTCCCTCCCACTTAGTTACGTCGCGCCTTGAAGTGGAAATTGATGTTACGAGCGCCTGCCCGCAAAGTGACTTTGTTTGGGGAAGGGTACAAATCATGAGCCCGCTGGACTTCGTGCATGGCGTTCCTTTCACTATGATTGTTGAACGGGTATTTAACCATGGTCGTGCGCGAAAAGCCAAGCTGGCTTTCTGTTCGGAAGCAAGTGGGCGGGAATTTGCTCCAAGTTGGAGTGGGGATTGGCTATATAGTTCTCTGCAACTCGGGCAAGCAATCAAGCAATCACACCTACAATCTATTCCATCCTGCATTCACTTACTAATCATTAACTTTTGATGCATGGGAACACAAATGAAAGGATATTAATGCATCAGAATGAAAGGGAAGGAAGTGACCAAGAATTTGAAAAGGTTTCTACAGACAGAAGCATCTTAGTTGCAGATAGAGGTTTACCTTAGGATCAGAGATTCCCCATCATTTATTACTTTCATTTACTTCTTAATCCTAATCACAGCGTTTACACCATAATATAATAGATGTTCTTATGATCTTCACTTTCTATTTCTAATCCCAACCCTAGATCCTGTTCAGATGGTGTTCATCTTATATGTATTTTCTAACTTTACAATCGTTATTAATATGCTAGAGTTATAAAGATTCCAAATGAAACACTACAAATGTTATTGGTCATCATTTCATCCACAATGTGATTCCAACAAAAAATGGAGATGAACGACATAGCCGCCAATGACTTTAGGATCTAGAATTAGTTCTTTCCCATCCTTTCATCTCTTAATCTCTGACATAACTTCATTCCTTCTATCATCATATTTTTATTACAATAATAATTCCAGAACATAATATGATAATTATAACATGATGATTGCAAACCTAAAAGAAAAGGATCTGGAATTCTTATTTACTTTTCTTTTTCTATCATATTATCCTAATCCTGATTCATTTACAGATTACGTGGTCAGGAGGGATAGAGAGATATGGTCTCATTTTGGACATAATAAAATCCCTTGAGCTGCAAACAGGGGATGTCTAGTCTATAGACGAGGTAACCTCTATCTTGGAAGTCTGTTATCCCTCTATTCCTTACCCAATTGATGCTTTCCTTCTTCATGTTACCTCTCCCTGTCTCTCGGCCAAATATCAGGCCTCATCAAGAGACAGGAAAGAGAGGAAAAGAGGCTTGACATGGAAAGCGAAAGGAATGGATCTCTTCGTACATGCGATGCAACCCTGAGAACCAACATAAAAGCACATGGAGGGAGGTCCCCGGCAAGTTGGTGGTGGTTGGCGTTTTCCAAGGGAAGAAGTGATGCGTGTCCGTGGAAGCAGGGGATTGCAAGGTGGGATGTCGCCACGTTTTTGGTGCTGATTGCTTGCTTTGCTCGACAAGGCCTACATGTGTTGTGATCAAGGCCCCCTTTCGTGTGGAGATGGCTATGCCCCTTCGCCAAGTCTGTAATGGAACCATTGGCTTTGATATGTCAACATCCTAAGGGCTGTGCTTCGACTGCCAACCCCGTCCCAACATATTTTTGGGTGAAAGACCTTCCAATTCACGGGCCTCGGGGGTTACACAAAAGGACATCAGAGGTGTGGCGGTTGAAGACCCGGTGAAAGAGGTGTCCATCAATCGGAACTCACCAACAAACTTGATCTCCCCAGGCGCGAATGAGAGGCTTCTAAGCCAGTGTCTCTGTTGGAGGCGTCAGTGGTACACGCCAGTAAGCCCTGCCGGTAACGAACAAGCGAGAGAGAGAGAGAGAGAGTCGTCTGCAGGCCTTTCGCCAACTCAGGGAGCACTCTTAGCTTCTGAGGGGAGGCTCCAAGGCCTTAACCATGAGGCTTCACCATGAGGGATCGTACTTGGGCAAAAATTCAGCACGGGACTCGAGCATAAGGCATAGGTCCAGGCGGAAGTTCTGTATGGTTTCACCGGCCCTGGTTTCACCAGTGACCCCAACTCAGTTCCTAGCGTTTGGACCTCGAACAACTTTTGGGAAGGTCATGTTGGTACACGAAAAGTCAGCACTTCTCCCCACCAATTGGGTAGGCGTCAAAGGAGGCCCGCCAAGATTGGATGGTTTTCCTTTTGAGTTCCCTTTAAACCAGCCTTAACAGGGGTATCTGCAAAACAACACACACACATCCACTCATGAAGGTGAGACAGAGGTAAATCTGTCAGGATGGGCTGCTGCTCTTGGCCCTGCTGCAGCCTGCCGCGTCCGACTGCATTCTGGGGGCCGACTTTCCCAAGAAGGGGGGCAACACCCACTGCATGTGCCCACTGGCCGCAGAGACGGAAAACACCTGAACCTGAGAGCGTTTAAGACGGAACCCTGAAATGAGGCGGTTCAAAGCTTGTTGGACCAACCACACTCCGCACATTCGCAGCGAGATCGCATGCCCTTTCGAAGAGTGACCTCGACCCCAATCCATGTTCTTCCTGAGTGAAACAGTGTCTCTCACGGCTTTTTCTGTAAAACCCATGTAATACCAGCTTCTTTTCAGTGCCCTCAATTCATTTTTTGGGTGCTATGATCAATTGTAGCCTTGGTTTAGCGGTTTACCCATCCACCATCACCTCCGATTTTTGTCGGGCCTTACCTGCACGTGGCCATGGGTCAAAATCCAAATCGTACCCCCAGTGAACGCGACCCAATCCAACCACCAAAATAGGTTCTAAAATGGGTGGTGAATTCACCTACCAGCCAAAATGGGATCCCATTGGTTTTAACCACTATAGACTAAAATGGGTGGTGAATTCACCTGCCCCTGGTGCGCCTACCCCAAAATGGGATCCCAAAAACGTTTTGACACCCACAGCCACACGGCTTGCAGGCGACAGATCGGAGGAGTCGGAGGAGCCTGCGCCCAGCTGCTTGCTGAACTCCGACGAAGCCAGGGTCAGCCCCTTCTTCTTGTGGCGCGGCCGATATGGTTTTTCTCTATAGCTATTGGGTTGGATCTTTAGCTTTT